GATTTACAGTATATAGTGTCAAACTGACAGAAAGCATAATAATGTATCTTAGTGTAGTCTACTTGTGTGCCAAGTTATACTGAAATCAGGCCAAAACTGTTGGAAGAGTAGCATTTTAAAAGCATTTCACAGAAATTTCTATTTTTAGTAACCACTGCAACACTGTTCATTGAAATCAAAAACCGATATATAGAATTATGTATCTTAGACTCTTAGTGAGGACGGATGCCAATGCATTACTATCACATAAGCTCTTCTGGTCTCTAAAAATGGGGTTTGGTTTTGGGGTGTTGTGGTTCATAACATATACTTTTTCTGTGGTGTGTTCAAGACCATATACTGAGGAAAGACTGAACACGGCCCCATCCACTCCGAGGGTGCATATAAGGGTCATGATGTGAACAAACTGGAATCTTCACTACCTGGGGGTGCTTCCATATAACTATGACCAACCATGGCCCTGCTGTTCTTGAGGAGAATTTTGAAGGTAAATTTTCCTATGTATTCATATTTACTTCATCCCCCATTGTAGCCCCATCCTATGCCCCGAGTCATGATTTGAACAAACTTGAATCTACACTATCTCTGAGGATGCTTTCACATGAGTTTCATCTTTCCTAGCCCAGTAGTTCTTGAGAAGATTGTTAAAATATGCAATTAATTTATTACTTATTCACAATTATCTCCCCCTTGGAAGAAGGTCTTGCCCTTCAATTGAAAAAAATTGAATCCCCTTCATCCAAGGATACTTCGTGGCAAGTTTAATTAAAATTGGCCTATTGGTTCATGAGAAGAAGATGAAATTTTTAAATATGAAAAGTTTATGATGACAACTACAACAATGGACAAATTTTGGAAAGGGACTGTGAATTAACCATATAATTAACACTAACCCTATACACTGTACATGTATCAATGTTTTTTACTTACTTAATTCCAAAAATTCAGCCACTTCGTTGAGAATTTTTCTTTTGTCTTTTGTGTATTCATCAAAATCAATCACTAAAATTTGATTCTGTGGATAGATATTCAACCAGTCCATCAGGAATACATAGTACATACCTACTCGCAGCCTTGCCTAGAAAAAAAAATACTGGTACAGTAAAACACAGTAAAAACAAAGTGCTAGAGATGGGCGATTCTATTTTGTTATAAGCTTAATTTGTTATATCCAATATGTTTGCAATATAATTCAAAAACACGGCCGGGGCAAGAAAATCACTTTGCTGCAAGCGGAAATTAATTATAAGCATGTTTGCTGTGTGTATTTTTACTGTACTCTGTATACTAGTGTGGTTCAATTTTTTCAAAGTGAAAATTTTCACAATGCTTCTTTTAATATTGAGAAAGAAAATCTTCATTTTCAAACCACAAATTTAATTCCCCACAAACCAATATTTTTTTCCTTAAACCTCGAAAATTTTACCCCACGAAAATATGTGATTTTACAGTAGCTGTATTATTGTTGAAATTTTCAGGATTTGGGGAAAATAATGCTAATCATGATGTCATATTGCATTGACTAGTCAAAAAATTATATCGTTTTTTTATAGATAGGCAGTCACTAATGGTCGATCTAATTAAGAAATAAGTCTTGCGTGGACCAAATTTTTAGAGAATACACCCTAATAGTCAAGAGATTTTCTTGGCAAATAAAATCAAGCCAGAAGGGCAAGCTATGGGTTTTTATTTCCTAACAAAATCTCAAGGCAGAGGGGTACAACTGGAATTATTTCTATTTTGCTACAGTGACATCACAACTGAATGGGTTTTTTTTTTTATTCATTTGTATCTCAAGAATTAGAACAAGTTAAGGATGTAATCCAAACCCATTGATTTTTTCCCCACCAATTTTCATCGCAAAGATAGACACCTCTATCCTTTCCTAGTGAAAGCAGTTAAAAGTAGAGGATAATGATTTTTGGTAATTTGTTGATTACATTTGTGATTTACTGGAGAATAATGGCAGTGACATTTCTTTGATTTAAAAATATTACATTTAGAGGTGTATTCTTTTTAGCTATTGACTGAATGCAGTGTCCATTAAATCAAGTACATTGCTAAATGTCTAAAAATGTACATGTATATCATACATTTACATCTAGCACATTCAGATAGCGCTAAATTAAATCTAAGCTAACTTGTTGAAAAATGGGTTTCTGCCAAATATCTTAACACACCAAATATAATACATAGTCCCTTTTCATTACCTTGTAGTTTTCTAATGATGAATTGTATGCACATGTGCGAACAGAGAACTGGGCTTGACAGAGTTCTTGCTTCCTGACCGCCCTGTGTACAGCTTGGTGAAAGTCTTCTAGTGACAACAGATAGTGAGCAATAGGAGCCTCAAACAAGTAGTCAGAATACAACCTTAAAAAAAGAAAATAGGATTCACATACAATGCATCCACATATCTAGGATTATAGAAGGGGGATGCTCATCGACTGTAGTAAATATTTTTGCTAATCAAAACAGGAAATCAATAAATGCACGAAGAATTGAGATATAAATCAATCACAGAAAATTCAGAATGCATTTTCACTATATAATCAATAGAGCACTGCCCTAACACCAGATCCCTTGACCCAAGGGCAGCCATGACATTCACTAACATAGGTAATCAGAGATTACAGAGCTCACCTCAACGAATGTTGTCTTTAAGTAAGGCAAATTAAGTCACACAATTAACCAACAAAAAGTGTACATCCAAAAATGCAAAATTTATGCAATTTTGATACTTTGGAATAGACCTATATAAAAACTTAAAACTAGTTCTTCATCATGAAAATGTAATTAAAATCCAGCATCTGAAGCAAGATTGAGAGTTTTCATCCCTTGATGCATCATTTGTGCAACTTTGGTTTATATAAGCCTTATAGTTTTTTGGTGATAGACCTGCACCCACAACTTTTACGAGGTCTATTATCTGGAAAATGTATGTCGAATTCAGCATCTGAAGCAAGTCCATTAGTGTGCATCCTTAAAGATGTATCATCCATGCAAGTTTGTTCAATATAGAGCTCAAAGTTACTTGGAAATGAAACCTGTATAAAAAACTAACCTTTTCACTAATCCGAAAAATGTAGGTCAGATTCAGCTTCTGAAGCCAGCCTAGTAGAATGCACCCTTAGATGTACCATCCATGCAAGTTTGGTCATTATAGGGCTCAAAGTTACTTGGAAATGGATCCTGCACCATAAACTTTAACCTGTTTACTCATCCAGAAAATGTAGGTCAGATTCAGCATCCGAAGCAAGACTGGTAGTATGCATCCTAAGATGTACCATCCATGCAAGTTTGTTCATTATATGTCTCATAGAAACTTGGAAATGAAACCTGCACCAAAAATTTTAACCTGTTCACTCAACCGGAAAATGTAGGTCAGATTCAGCATCCGAAGCAAGTCTAGTAGAATGCATCCTAAGATGTACCATCCATGCAAGTTTGGTCATTATAGGGCTCATAGTATCTTCGAAATGAAACCTGCACCAAAAACTTTAACCTGTTCACTCAACCGGAAAATGTAGGTCAGATTCAGCATCCGAAGCAAGTCTGGTAGTATGCATCCTAAGATGTACCATCCATGTAAGTTTGGTCAACATAGGGCTTATAGTTACTCGGAAATGAGACCTACACCAAAAACTGCACCAAAAATGTTAACCTGCACCAAAAACATTAACCTGGTCATTCCTTTGCTGAAATTGCAGCATCTGAAACTTTGACTGGTACAATGAAACAAATAAGAAACATCTTCCATGCATGTCTAATCAATATAGGACATAGAAGTACTTAAAAAGAAAACTGCTCCAAAAAACTTAACGCTTCTTCTAGCACTAGCTAGTGGGTTAACCCTTTAGCTCAGTCAATAGAGCGTTGGATTTTAAATCTGAGGGTTGTAGGTTCGAGCCGCAGTGTGGACACCCCCAGCTAATCGGTCATATTGGCACCCAACTACAAAACCCACATGGTGAGTGGTGTTTATAGTCTTGTGTGTGAGATTTCTCAGGGGTAAGAAATCTCAAGAAAAAGAAGTAGGAAATGTAACAGAGTTTTAAGTGGCTATGTGTTGTAAATTGTTAGGTCACGCTCCTACTAGCACTGGCTAGTGGGTTAACCCTTTAGCTCAGTCAGTAGAGCGTTGGATTTTAAATCTGAGGGTTGTATGTTCGAGCCACAGTGTGGACACCCCCTAGCTAATCAGTTATAAAATAATTTAAAACGCATTTTCATGATATAACCATCAGAACCCCACCCTGATACCAGAACCCCTTACACAGGGGCCATGAAATTCACAAATTTGGTTGAGGCATTACAACTTTATACTAAATTAGTTTATTTAATACCCAGAAGCAGAGGAGGAGATTTTAAAAGAATTAATGCATTTTCACTATATAATCAATAGAGACCTGCCCTAACACCAGAACCTCTGACCCTGGGGCCATAAAATTCACAATTTTGGTAGAGGCACTCTTGCTCATAATAACTATGTACTTAGTTAGTTTATTTAATACTCAGGAGCAGAGACGAAGATTTTCAAAGAATTAATGCATTTTCGTAATATATTCAATAGAGTCCCGCCCTAACACCAGAACCCCTGACCCTGAGGCCATGAAATTCCTAATTCTGGAAGAGGCACTCTTGCTCATAATAACTTTGTACTTAATTAGTTTATTTAATACCCAGGAGCAGAGGAGAAGATTTTCAAAGAATTAATGCATTTTCACCATATAATCAATAGAGCCCTGCCCTAACACCAGAACCCCTGACCCTGGGGCCATAAAATTCACAATTTTGGAAAAGGCACGCCTACTCATCATAACTTTGTACTTATTTAATTTATTTATTACCCAGGAGCAGAGAAGAAGATTTTTAAAGAAATAATGCATTTTCACTATATAATCAATTGAGCCCCGCCCTAGCATTAGAACCCTGACCCTGGAGCCATGAATTTCACAATTTTGGTAGAGGACTCAATGATTATTACATTCATGCTAACAGTTTGACTTCTTAATGTCCAGGAGTTAAGAAGAAGATTTTTAAAGATCGCATTAATTTTAGTGGTTTTGGCCCCACCCTTCAGGCCCCAGGGGGGCAGGGACCATGAAATTTACAATTTATGTTCCCCTTCACCCATAGATGCTTTATGCCAAATTTGGTGGAAATTGGTTGAGTGGTTGCAGAGAAGAAGCTGAAAATGTTCAAATGTTAACACACCATGAACGACGCACGACGAAAATGGATAGCAATAGAATGCATTTAAAAATGCATTTCCACTATATAGTCAGTAGTGCCCAAAACCACAGGAACCCCTGACCCTAAGGCCATATGTAGTAGGAAAGGAGAAATGCATAAAAAAAAACAACATATGGCTGGAATGGGAATCGAAACCGGGCCCCAAACTACTAGTCAGGTGCTCTAACCACTGAGCTATCCAGGCTGATAACCATGGTCTGTAAAAGCCTGAACTTCTACATTCCTTCCTCTATAAACAGTCTTTGACCTCAAAGACACCAGAGTCCTAAAGCCCTGCGAGGAATTATTAATTTACAGATACACGGTAACCTGAACAAGGCCCCCACACTGGCCACCAAATGTAGAAGGGAAGGAGAAATGCATGAGGAAAGCATATGGCTGCACTGGGAATTGAAACCGGGACTCCTCTATTACTAGTCAGGTGCTCTAACAATTGAGCTATCCAGGGGCCGAAATCCACGATCCGTAAAAGACTGAACATCTACATTTACCAAACACACATATGCTCATCATAAATTCTTTCCTAGCATTTAGCCAAATAGAGGAGGGTCACTTTCCAAATTCATTTCGCCTTAATGAATCTCTATAGTATTTTACAGGAGACATTTCTTTGGGGAGGGGGTCTTAGATCACTTTTTAATATGTCTGAAAATTCAGAAGGGGGAAGACCCTTTCCCAACACCTAGATCCAACATCTACATATAACTCTGAATATTGTCATGGTGTTATCTCCCCATTCTAGATCTCATATCTACAAATAACTCTGGATATTGTCATGGTGTTATCTCCCCATTCTAGATCTCATATCTACAAATAACTCTGGATATTGTCATGGTGTTATCTCCCCATTCTAGATCCCATATCTACAAACAACTCTGGATATTGTCATGGTGTTAGGCCCAAAAAAATTAATCAATAGTTTCTCAGGCACCGCCACATCAGTTCAAAAACGGCTGCATTGATCAATTTTATTGACATATTGAAGAGAGATAACTCAATTTTCTATTTTTCCAACTTGAAAAAGAAAATCGAGTTATTTCCCTTTTCATAAATACTAAGATAAACATTCTTATTAGAAAAACAATACATTTCCTCTAAATTTTCAGTAAAATATTCATTAACTTCTAAATAAATGTTTGGAGTAACATTATTTAAAGTTGAATACATATTACAACCACTTTCAGCGAACAAAAATTAAGAATTGGTAGATATTATCATTTTATTGAACAATTGGCTTAGAAAAGGTGTTAAACCTGCTTCAAAAAAAAAAAAAAAAAAAAAAAAAAAACAAAAAAGCCTGCCTGCCGCATTGAATTCTGTTTTTTTTGGCCTGAGAAACTATTGCTTAATTTTTTTTGGCCTTATCTCACCATTCTAGATCCCATGTCTACACATATCTCTGGATATTGTCATTGTGTTATCTCCTATTCTAGATGCCAAACATTCTGTAAATGTAACCTGTGTCATTCACATTTTTATGCCCCCCTAAATGAAGTTTTGGGGGGTATATAGTTTTTGTCATGTTCGTCTGTCTGTCTGTCTAGCTGTCTGTCTGTCTGTCTGTCTGTCTAGCTGTCTGTTTGTCCGCAAAAACTTTAACCTTTTGATTTAGTGGAGCTATGACATTCATATTTCACATGTGTATTCCTTGTGACAAGACCTTTCTTTGGGTACCACCGAATTTAACCTTCTGACCTTGACCTTGGAGTTTGACCCACTTTTTAACAAAAATTTTGAACTTTTTCTTTGGCCTTATCTTTTGAACAGTAGATACCAGGACATTTATACTTGACATATTTAGTCTTTGTGGAAAAACCTTTCATTGGATCCAACAACCTTGACCTTTTTACCTTGGAGATTTCTGTAATTATAAAAAAAACTTTAACCTTGGCTATAACTTTTGAAAATAAAGTGCTAGGGCTTTAAAACTTCCCATATGTAATCCTTATAAAAAGATGCTACATGGGATACCAAGAACCTTGACCTTCTGACCTTGGAGTTTGACCTACTTAAAGATACAACCTTGACCAGAATTTTAAAAGGGTTAAGACTAGGGCTTTCATGCTTCACATATTTAATCCTTGTGACAAGACCTTTCATTTGATACCAAAAAACTTGACCCTTTGACCTTGACCTTAAAGTTTGACCCATTTTTACACAAAAATTCCAAACTTTTACTTTGGCCCTAATTTTTAAATGGTAGATACGAGGAATTTCATATTTCATATATTAATTCTTTTTGGTAAGACCTTTCATTTTAAACCAAGAATTTTGATTTTTGACCTTGACCTTGGAGATTTCCATACTTACGAAAAAACTTTAACCTTGGTCATAACTTTTGAACAATAAGGGCTAGGGCTTTCATACTTCAAATTTGTAATCCTTGTGAGAAATTTCATTGGATATCAACAACTGTGACTTTGGAGTTTGACCTACTTTTTACAAACTTTAACCTTGGCCATAACTTTTGAACAGTAGGGGCTAGAGCTTTCATATTTCACATATGTATACCTTGTGACAAGACCTTTCATTAAATATCAAGAACCTTTACCCTTTGACCTTGACCTTGGAGTTTGACCTTCTTTTTACAAACATTAACCTTGGCCATAACTTTTGATGGTAAGGGCCAGCGCTTCCATACTTCCCATATGTAATCTTTGAGACAAGGCCTTTCTTTAGAAATCAACAACCTTGACTCTTTGACCTTGACCCCGGAGTTTGTCCTACCTTTAAAAATGTTAACCTTGGTCATAACTTTTGAACAGTTGGTGCTAGGGTTTTATATTTTACATTTGTATTTCTTGTGAAAAGGCCTTACTTTAGGTACCAACATATTTGACCTGCATTTGAGAAAGCTTAACCTTCGCTATGTTGCCATACAGGGCATCAGTGTTTCACAAACACATCTTGTTTAGATTAATTTACATTTACTTACCTTTCCACGGGATCCCGCAGCATTATAATGATTTTTAGCCCTGGAAGCAGTTTATGTATAAAAAATGGAAGGACATATTTTGGTTCTTTTAGTCCTTCATTTCCAGGGAAGTTTTTCCAGTCCCAACTATCAAATGCAACATCTGCAGAACCATCCCCTTTGAGAAAAATCAGAAATATCTGACAAATGGTACTCTTCTAGTTCCAGCTTAAAATACTAAAAAGAAACTCTAGTGCTTTAAACATTTTAATTTTGCTTGTAGTTGTAAGAACAGGTATTTTCTACTTTTAAAACATAGAATTATTTCTAAAATGAAAACATTCACTTAGCTAAAGTATATATTATAATACATGACCTGTAAGTCATATTTTTTGTCCTCCAGAGAGCGAAATATTTTACACTAAACATTTCAGGTAGTCTCACTAAGATATAAATATTGTTTCTAATCTCACCGGTAATCAAAGAAGAAACCTGCTTGCCAGCAGTTAGACGGGTTTTCATTTCATCAAAATTCATAGTGTAGTCATTCAGATGCATACCCCCTAAAATTAATGGTGATAATGTATCAGTATATTAAAAATTCCTATGACAATGATTTGTATGAATTAATAATACTACCACATCACATTTTAAAGAATCTAGAACCTTATTTTCAAAATGCTCAGAAAAGATAATGGTAAATTTTAGGCCTAATTAGACAGTCACTGATGTTTCTTAACATAAACATGCACTTTTATTACAAGAGCCTTATATTTTCCAATACAATCATATTAATAAACATAAGTACATGCAGTTATTGGCAGATGCAGAGATACATAGAAGCTGACAACAGATTCATACAAAAATAAATCCCACACTTTGGCATGCCTCAGCAAAGAATGTGCTACAATTTCAAGCATCTGCAATGAGTAGTTGCTGAAAAAACTGTGATTTGTTATGGAAAGACACAAGGGCGTACAGACGGACAAACACACAAAGGTAAAAAAGTATACACCCCTCTCCTTCAGAGTGGGGTTATAATTAAACCAAACATATTTATAATTATAGAATTTATGGGGGTAATGAAAATGTAAAAAGTTTACAGATAAACAGACAGACAGTCAACTAGTAATCAGAATAGCTCACTTGAGCTTTCAGTTCAGGTGAGCTGGTAACAAAATGTATCAAAAACTCACTGTAGCAGTTTCTATTGAAATACATTGGTTCCTTCTTCTTGCCTGGCAGGACCTCCTTGTGCTGAGCTAGATGGTAGTACAGACTAGTGGTTCCTGATTTTGGCATACCAATAATCATGAAATATGGAAGGCATCTTATAGTATTGTATCCTCTTTCACATTCCTCATAGCATGGATTTTTTAAGTGTGGAAGATACACAAAAGTACTCTGCAATTAAGTTTTATATACTCAACATAAAACATTCATGATCATGATTGATTTCTTTAAAAATGTCAAATCATATTTCTAAAATTTGGGAAATCCTTGGAGACTGATGACATGTCCTCCTACAGTTTTACCTCTGAAATAGCTGCATATGCAGCAGTGCTTCCGCGACCGATATCCAAAAACTGGGTTTTTTGTTCGATTGTATATGTCGAAAATGTCCGCGGAAGTGGCTATCTAATATAGCGCATCCGTATTAAACACAGTAAAAGAGTTCCCTTCAGGGGAAATAACTCACCTAATTGAAATGGGGAATTAAACTTAGGTCCCGTGTTGCAATAAGTGCTGGCATAAAAAAGATCCCTCCTTGATCAATGGCCATGAGTGCAGAGCACAGGACAAAATTTGCTGCTCTCCACCGGCAAGTGTGGCATCTCCATATGAGTGGAAAATTCTTGAGAGGGATGTTAAACAACATACAAACAAAACTAAATTGATGAAATTCCAAAAGCAGATCATTGTGACCTACTTCTTAGTTTATCAGTATAATTAAAAGCTTTTGAGCCATAGACACTCGGTAACTCATTTGATAATTAAAAATTTGCAAAGGGAGGGATTCTAAAGATGGCCAATATTTTTTTTTTAAAAATCAACACACCACACAAATGGCCATAGCATGATAACCCTTTGAGTCTTTGGCTAAGAAGAGCTAAAAAAAAACTATTATAATTATTATTAAATATTTGCTTTGATGCTTTGCGCAATATTAAGTATGTATTCTGATTGGCGTGCATATAGCCAATTGAATACAACCGGTTTTTCATTTTGTGAGCTTGAGCCATGTGCGAATGTTTTGTTTTGTACAGGTGAATTTCTATTTTTAGCATTTCTTTACGTATGACTGACCAGTGACCTACCATGTACCAATGGATTTCGTTAAGGGGTACCAACCCTCTGATAAGATAGATAACTTTTGAAGTACAAAATATGAATACTACTCACAGTTTTCTTAATCAGTTTCCTAATTGAGACCTCTGACAAGTCAATTTGATGAGATCTAATTTATGATGGAAACATTGCTTTCTATTTCTTTTGCCAATTTATTTGCAATTGTTTTATTATATTTAACAATAAAACATTTTAATCCAACATCAAAAGCCTTATTAATTGAATAATTAAGTTGTGTCTTTTTAAGGACCATTTTAAAACTGGTCGGTTTAATGTTTCCAGTACTTAATACACCATTTTTGTTAGCATAACACTTTTTTCCACATGAAGAAATATTTAGAAGAAAGATAACTCCTCCTCAGATGTATTTTTTTTCTTACACCCACATACAACATTGTGATTTTCTGACTTAGGAAGCATCGCTTCATGATGTTTTCGAACATGATTTTAATAGGTATTGATACTAAGTATTATTTTTAAATGCACCTCATATCTTAAATTTAATGTTGTAATAATAAATCTTTAGTTACTCTTTCTGTTCTCCGTGTTCAATTTCTTCATATCATGATGTGACATAAAAATCATTTCTGAAAAAATAAGCAGCGCTCCATACTTCAAACTATTTTCCATGTGACTCTAATGTTATTGTTGATTATGAAAATCAATATAACAAATTTTCAATTTTCTAAAGTGAAATTTATAGCAGAGGGTCGGGACCCCTTAACTAATTCATATGCATGTTTTACTAACACGTTCACTATATAAAGTAAGAATCAACCCTCCGAAATCCCCACCCCAAGCTCTTCAGCCTTTACAGCAGCAGATCACATACAGATTCTATCACAGATCGATTCAATCGATGTACAGCATATATTAGTTCTCATTTAATACTGGATGCCTGGTAAGATGTTCATTAATCTTGTATTTCATTTACTTGTTTAATTCATGTGAATAATTAAAATATCTATTAATTATTACTTTTCGTAAATGTTGAAATGTCTTTTGCTTGGTGTTTGTCTATGTGTTGTTTTGTATGAGTGTTGCGAGAGCGTTTTTCTATTTTCTAGGTTATTCATTATATCCATTAAATTAATAAATTGTTAAACGACCAATCGACCATTTGAATCCTTCGAACAAGACGGTGACCCTGTGACACCCAAAATGAAAGCAGTATTTAGTATAGCTTTAAGAAATGAGAATAATTAATTTTAAAACTTACTGAATTCATATGCATGTAATCACAAAGTTTCTCTTTTTGTCCCGTCCATTTCTGCTGTGATCTGTTTTTCTGCTTTTTCCCTTTAGTTCTGTCTGATAGTTTTCTCTCTGAGCAGAGTGTGTCCTCTAGTGATACAATGCACTGTCCTCTCCCTTGGAGATCCCTCTCAATGTTATGACATGTGCGATTTAAAACACTAAACTCATACTTTTCATTAACATCCAAAAATACATTCTTATTCTTCTTGTTTAAAATGTCTCTCAGCATGATATTTGCCTTGTTCTCAAATTTCTCATTTTTAATCTGGTCATTCAGTAACTTCCCTTTATCTCTTGAATATTTTTCCCATAAAGTTTGTAAAGTCACCATAACATTCTCATTTTTTAAAATCAGTAAAATGAAATCAGTTACATCTTCTGCCGAAAAAAATATGTTGTTAAACATATCATCTTTTTGGTATAGTTCATGTTGTTGACTGAGGGAAAAACTGAAAATGTCCTTGCTGCTTTGTCTAGATACTGGCTTGTAAAATAATTTTTTTTTTCCACCAACAAACCATAATTCATATAAAATACTGGTGACTAACACAACTGCTATCAAACAGCAAAATTTAAACTTCCAGTTCAATTTCATTGGGATGATAATCTTGAAAGGTAAGAAACTTCAATTTGCCTGAAACCTGAAAATGAAAATTTATTAAGAATTTGACATAATATGTTTGACATTTTACCAAAGTTTAATAATTCTGATCCTTAGAATGTATTTTGAATGGAATTCATAAGTTATGAAGGATCACAAAATGATTATTATAAGAAAAGTTACCTAAATTACTAAATTTGAGAGTGTTCCATATCAATATTAACCAGACCAGAATTCCGGATTTAATTATTATCTTTGTCAGTTTTGGTTCTTGATGTTAGACAGTGAAAACAATTAATGGGCTACTGATCTAAAGTTAGTTAAGTTTGAATTGGTTGGTTGATTGTTTTATGTCCCTCTCGAGAATTTTTCACTCATATGGAGACGCCACCACTTGCCGATGGAGAGCTGCAAATTTTGTCCTAAACTCAGCTCTTAGGCCTATTGAGCAGGGAGAGATCTTTTTCGTGCCAGCACCTACTGCTACACAGGACCTAGGTTTATATATATGGTTTCATGCGAAGGTCCGGTCTCCGCGTTCCACAGTGGGATTTGAACCCACGATGTTAATCAACTCTTTACTTCGCGGCTCAAGAACAGATGATCTAACCACTGTGCCACATTGAATTGGAAACAAGTTTATAAATGCAAACTTTAAATCAATAACAAAAGATCATGTTGTTTAACTACAGAAATATTCACAGAGTTTTAATTAGTAACTAATGAATTCTTAATTAATAACTATATATTATTGCAGATATACCAGAATCTGCAATTAAGCATCTATTTATTTTTTACTGCCCTACGTTTCTTAATAATGATATGGCTATAGCATTGTCAGAGTGGATCAATTTTTTAAAAGTCTGGTATACGTATGTTTTTAAAATACAAATGTATCACTAAAACAACATTTTTTTTTTTCTTGATCGTAGAAATGTGTATTTTTTAATAAAAAGATTTTCAAATTTATTACCATGTGATCTTTTTCCAGATAACCAAAAATAACAGTTTTAATATCAAATTCAATTCCCATATACATGTACTTTTAAAAATGAAGTCGTTACTTTATATAATTACAGTACTATAACACACTTGGGACGTATGACTGACTTCATATCATAAAATGACTCTAAAAATGATACATATTTTTTTTAATTAACAATACATTTGTGTATATGTACTTGTCCAACAGGTATGAGAGTGCATGGCCATGCGTCAGGAGAAAGATGTGTGTTTTGCAATTATATAAACTATATATAAAAAAAAATTTCAAGACTTTATGTATATCACTGTTAACATTATTATATTATTATTATTATTACATTACCATATTATTGTAACATATATCTTTCATTGTCAATATTAATGCATTTCTTTTTTAAAATATCACTTAGGTATGTGTTTCTTAGGCAATAGCTTAGAATAAGATTTACAGTGAAAATAACCAGAAGTCTCCGATGAGACTGTAGCTCTACTTGTATGTACATGTAACAAAGGAAAAGTAGCACTTGGATTTGAAACTTTGCAACAGGTAGTAATAAACAGAATTATATATCTTAGTATAATCTACTTGTGTGCCAAATTTTATTGAAATCAGACCAAAACTGTTAGGGGAGTAGTGTTTTAAATGAATTTCACAGAAATTTCTATTTTTAGTAACCATGACAACACCGTTCATTGAAATACAAAAACAGATGCACTAGTTTATGTATCTTAGTGTAGTCTACTTGTGTACCAAGTAATATTGAAATCAGATTAAAACTGTAGGAGGAGTAGCGTTTTGAATGAGTTTCTAAAAAAATTCTATTTTTAGTAACCATGGCAATACCGTTCATTGAATTCAAAAACTGATGCACTAGTTTATCTTAGTTTAGTCTACTTGTGTGCCAAGTTATATTGAAATCAGACCAAAACTGTAGGAGGAGCGTTTTAAAGGAATTTCACAGAAATGTCTATTTTTAGTAACCATGGCAATACCATTCAGGGAAATCAAAAACAGATGCACTAGTTTATGTATCTTAGTGTAGTCTACTTGTGTGCCAAGTTATACTGAAATACATGTAAGATCAAAACTGTAGGAGGAGTAGCGTTTTAAAGGAATTTCTCAAAAATTTCTATTTTTAGTAGCCGTGGAAACACCGTTTAGCAAAATCAAAAACTGATGAACTAGTTTTTGTATCTTAGTGTAGTCTACTTGTGTGCCAAGTTATATTGAAATCAGACCAAAACTGCAGAAGGAGTAGCATTTTGAAAAAATTGTTTACAGACAGAGATGGACAGCTAGACATCTAGACAGACGGATGGACGACAGACACCTTACCATTGCATAAGCTCTTCTGGTCTCTGACCAGTAGAGCTAAAAAATAATTCCGTCCTCCAGTTCAACTGCTCAATCACACGTGTATTGCATAGGGGCCTACATAACATCTTTCGTTCTCATCCTATCCCAGGGAAATAGGGCCTGATGATCATAGCAACATAGCACACCTTTGGCATTCAGTAATGACGATTGATAACAGGCAGCACTGGGTTGATTTTTAAAGAATACATTAGTTAGCGGTCATACTATAAAAGATTTTTGTTGCTTAGAGCGTTCCATAGTCAAATAAACATTGATTTTCCTCTAAATGTTCGTTCGTAGCACTTCATGGTTGAATTCTTTCCCTATTTTTAATGAAAATATTAATATAATACAAAAAAAGCCCACCTACAATAGTAAAACTCCAAAGCAGGCTATAAAAGTGTCATACTTTATGCCTATACCTCTTGACTTCCGGAGTAAGATCTACCTGTACAGCTATATACATGTCTAGTGTTAACTTGCAGCTAGGCTTATACTGATTTTCTTTGGAGTTCGTCTTTATATTCAGTCTGAAGTGAATTTTAACATATACAGTCAACGATCACAAACTATCACAAACTATTTGAAAGTATCATAATTAAAATTTCTTATGCAAATACTATATTTTTTCACTTACCTTCAAACTTTATTAGTATGGAGGTACATAAGCAACAAAAACTATTTTATTCAGAACCTACTAATAAATTAAAATACATGTAAAGTTGATATAAATGTATGTGTGAAAGGATTGTCGAACTATTACGGAGTCGGCCTATTGCAGACTCGGCCTATGCATTTATAATAGTACATGTACTTAGTAATAATACTTTACAAAGTAAATTAAAAGAAATATGTTTATTTTATTTTTTAAAATGATTAAGTTGGTTTTTAAGTATTATGAATAAAAAATATGTATTTTTATTCATTTGTTTTATTATTATTTAATTTATACCGAGTAACTTTATTACGAATTATGAAATATTTATTTAGCCTTGGTTGAATTGCATAAATCCTGATATTAATGTTTTTTAAAGATTATTTACAGATAATGCGATAAATAGAAAAATTGATAATTTTATTGTTTGCTTATCCATTTATGCATACCACGGCCGGTTTACTTGGATTACACAAAGGTGACACACAGAAGCCATATCTAAGGGGAGATAGAGAGCTAGGATATACAAACAATGGGACGGTGTCCCTTTGACGCTATTAGACTCAAAAACACCTATATAATTATTTCAACTCATGTTTTCTTAATTGTTAATCACATTAACTCAAATGAATGTGTATATACATGTAACCTATCAAACGAAAATTTTCCAATTTTTTTTTATTAATGAATATAAATGGTTTGCGTATATTACAAACTGTAAATACGTCTCTTCATCTAGTACTTGTATATTCTCGGACGACAAAAAGAATATGATAATTAAAAAAATCTTTAAAACCACATCAAAACAATTAAACATCTTTATCTCGATTAAGATTTATTTTGTTAAGAAACAACTGAAAAAATCCTAATTATAATTCCATACATACACCCCCTCCCAAAAAAAATCATACAATTGAAGCAATACGTATATATGCTTGGAAAAAACTTATTTTGAGAATTGTTTTTTAACCATTTGTTCTTGTTGCTTTTCCTCTCATTTCCTTTCATTCTTTTTAATATACCAAGCTTGCATCTTTTTTCAACAGGTAAATGACAAAAGTGAGAAAAAGAAGTTTTTCAGGGCAGAAAGTCCACTAATTTATGGAAATTATATCTTTACTAAAGAACAAAAGAAAAAAAAATATCGCAGCTTGTAAAATTAATAATGCCCGGTAAATACTGAAATAAAAATCGATGATTTTTATAAAATCTCTATAGATACAATGAAAAATAGTCTAAAATCAGAGGCACCTGACATTACTTATTTATCATTTATTAAAAAAAATATACCCCCTATTAGTTATTAGGGGTATACATTTAAAAAAACGTTACAATTTAACATAAATATTTTCGAAATCTCCACTGCATAAAAAATGATACAAGTTCACAAAAAATAAGTATATCTGCAGAAGTTTTATTGCATTATCTTAGTTTTTTAATTCTATAAAATTTTACATGCGTACCATAAAAAACTTAAAAAAGTTTTACTTAGTAGTAATTTTTTACTTGAAATAACAAAGATAAGTAATAGATCATTACTAAGCATTTACTTAAAATATTAAACCAATTACTGAAATATATGCTAATTACTAAATTCAAATGTTTTACTTGATTTTTGTATTTTAAAGAATTGTTTTACTTACACACTAAAAAGTTTTGCTTAGTAATTTATATTTACTTAAATTTGTTTATATAAGTAATAACATTACTTGGTCTTTACTTACATTTTACCACTACATATATTTACTATATAACTAATACTTCTATGCCCCCGTAAACATAGTTTCGGGGGTATATAGTTTTTGTCGTGTCCGTCTGTCTGTCTGTCTGTCTCTCTGTCTGTCTATCTCTCTGTTTGTCTGTTTGTCCACAAAAACTTCAACCTTGCCCATAACTTTTGATTTAGCAGAGCCATGACTTTCATGTTTCACATTTGTGTTCCTTGTGACAAGACCTTTCTTTGGGTATCACCAAACATGACCTTGGAGTATGACCCACTTTTACACAAAAATTCCAAACTTTTTCTTTAGCCATATGTTTTGAACAGT